ATTTTTATATTATTCAAAATGATTTATAAGTTTTTATAAGTTTAGATATAGTTAATATATTGCATTATTATTAATATATATATTGTATTACTTTATTTCAATCTTTCGCATGTAAAAACAATTTAACTGATATTTTCTTGGTTCAGTTAAATATTTTTTTTCAGCAATCCGATTTTTAGTTTTCTAGAATTTTCTATTTTTGTTAATTACATTTGATTAAAGTATTAACTATTTCTTTTTTAATACACAAACTCTGATAAGTAGGTAGGTATATGAGATATGAATTTAAGGCAGTCGAAAAAAAAACTAGAATTATTTAGTTCGTAGGACTCCACTTCATTAATAATAAAATTAAATAAAAATAAAGAAATCAAAATAATAATAATAAAGTTGTTAGCTCACCAACGCTATATATATATTTATATGTAAATAAATATTAAAAATATTAAAAAATATTTCTTCATCGAATGTATAGCTGAGCCATCACAGATTATACTTTATAGCACACAGATTGACTAAATGTTACTCCATGTAACTCATTCATATCACTTTTGGACCGAGGACTACAACAACACCCCCAAGCACACTCTGCAAAGGCCATTCATTTTTCTATAAAATAAGTTGTCTTCCATATGCAGCGCCAACAATTGATCACAATCAACAATCAGCAACATTTCCGTCACACGAATTGTCTAAAAGTTTCCATTCACAATTCTCAAGCGCTCATTTATCTTGCATGAAATATATAAAAACTAAAGTGAAAACTAAAACGAAAACAAAAACCCGTTGCATTTGGTCTTTTGGTTCGTTTCCCTTGCGCATAACGAACGATATGCAACTATTTTTGTAGGTTTTTGTGTTTTGTTACTTCCTCAATGAATGTCGCTCACCTGTTTGAAATTCTAAGGATACATTTAAATTGCGTTGCGTGTGTGCTTGGCCTGTATCCTGTGCCAGTGTTCGCGCTGAAGAGGCCTATTCAATGGCTCTGACAGGCAGTCAGGCGAGGCAGTCGCTGCCGGACTGTCCGCCACTGTCCCGTTCTGCTGCCGCTGCGGCTGTCCTGCCGTCCCGTGTCCTGTGGCACGCTTCCTGCAGCAGTCAGCTGCTGGCATGCAAAAGTTTTGCTGCTGCTCGTTGTTTAGTTTGCTTACTGTGGGCTTTCTTTAACTGGCTTGCTATCTGTGTTCAGTGTTAAGTGTTCCGTCTGTGTGTGTGTGTGTGTGTGAGTGTTCTATGTGTGTGTGTGTGTGTATGTGTGTGTTTGTGTGTCACTTTATGCGCTTCCTGCTCGATGCTTTCGCACCGCCCGCCGCCACGTTGTGCCGAGAGTGAAAGTTTTTTTTATTCGAACTGCTGCTGCCCGTCAACGAGGAGAAAACAAATCGTGGTGAATTCAACGCGTCACGCTCTCCCGACGCTCTCCCGACAGTCACACGCTCTCGCAGCGGCTGACACGCACGTTTGAGTATTTTTTCTTTTCTTTTTTAATTCCTTTTCAATGCCTAATTTGGAATTCTCTTTGTTTTCTTTGCAGTTGTTGTTGTTGCAGTTGTTGTTGTTGTTTCTTAGTTAAACGATACTTGACGATATTTATTTGCGTTAGACGGTCACACTTGTGCCCCGAGGCACACATTGAATTGTTGTCTATTGGCAAATTCACCACAGCAACAACTATTGCTGGGCCTCTTTGTTATTGTGGGTGGTGAACTTTGTTGAGCTATTGCATAGAGGGGGGCTGTGGTTGGGGCTGGGGCTGGGGCAGGAGCGGGCGCGGGAGCGGCAGCAGCAGTAGCAGGAGATGCTTATTGTAGTTGGTCGCACGCCTATAAATCGCCAACTTGCGTGCTGCGATTCGGTATTGGTATCGGGTTTTAATATTTTCGGACTCCGAATCCGAATCGCTGTACGTGGCGAATTTCGACGGTAGCCGTAGACGATGTCGTAGCCGTAGCCGTTGTTGTTGCCGTAGTAATTTAACCTTCTGCCCTACTCTAGAATGCGTCATCGAACATGCTGCTGTTGTTGTTGTTATTGCTTGTTGTTGTTTTTGTTGTTGTTGCTGTTGTTGTCGAGTGGCACATGAATACAAGTTAGAGCATTTCTATGAATTAATTTGCTTAATATTTCATTTGGCACCATCTCTAACAATAACACATTGACAAACTTGCTCACGCACGCACACACACACACAATCACACACAGCGACAGTGGCAGAGGCAAGTGGCATGCCACAGTGGCACACGCACACACACGAAGCGCACAGTGTGTGCATAATGCAATATTTAAACACAGCTGCCTCGCACATTTACTGCATATGTCGTGCCATACGTATTCAGATATTACCCATACGCCATGATGTACGGCCGTGTGGTTGCTATTTTAATTTCTGTTGTATTTTATTGGTGTTGCTGCTGCTGCTGCTGCTGCTGCTGCTGCTGCTCCTGTTGTTGCTGTCGTATTTTGAGTGCTTCGAGTTGTTATTGACTAAGCAGTTGTTGCCTTTAGCACAGTTGCGCTCAAGGTTACAAAAAACTGTTTCATTCGCTGGATTTTCATGCACATTTGGTTTTGGGTTTTGGGTTTCTCGTTTCCTCTGCTTCTTTTCGTTTTTATAGAAATCCGCTGGGCATTCCCATTGCCAGTGCTTCCACTGCTGGTGCTGCTGCTGCTGCTCTGCACATGGCTTCAGGCCTCAGAAAGTATCTACATAATTTTGGCATGCCTCTGAATTTTAACCGTTAAACACAATTGCTAAATTTCTTCGATTTTTTTTTACATTTGCTTCAAACACTTTTTTTTTGTAATTAAATATTTTATTAGAATATTTGCTTGACTTTTATATATTTTTTTTCAGCTTTTTCTGTGCTTTCTTTTGCGCGTTTCAGCTGCGTTTGCTGCGGAGCGCCCCGTCTGAACCGTGTGGCTCCACTACTCTGACTACTTGGGCCCAACTTTGTCGTCGTGTCGTGTCTTCGTCGGGCCAGAGCTTTTCCCCAAAATGTAGGCTTTTGTCAGGCCAGGCACGAATCGGGCCCGAATAGGCACCCGATGAGAGCGACCGCCCCTCGCGACGCCTCCTGCCAGCCCTTTTGGAATGTGGCGACTGGCTGGCGAGTAAAAATTAAAGCTCTGTCTCGGTCTCGGAATCGGTTCACGGGCTCAGTTACAATTTCAGTCTCTGGTTTTTGTTAGCATTTGCACTCAAAAGTTTGCGTTGTTTGGATTTTGTTATTTTATTGTGACTGCCGAGATAGACGCAAGTCCTGCTCTGTTCTGTCCTGTTCCTGTCCCGTCCTGTCGTGTCCTACTCTGTGCTTTTGGCCACAGCAATTTCTTTCAATGTAATTGTTTTCGTTTCGTTTGCTACATTCGTTACTTTCATAATGAAAACAGAAGTTGAAACGAAATAGAAGAGTCGCCAAACAGTATCTGCCAAATGTAGTCATAATTGTGCACTGCCAGAAAGGTAATCTCTGTAGATAAAATAAATATTTATATAGGAAATTCCAAGGATTA